TACATATTACCAGCAAATATGGGTATATTCGTGGCACAGTTGATAGGAACTATACTAGTAACCCAAAGGCAGTAAGAATCCCACAGCAACTACATGGGTGAAAGATTGGGAAGATCCTCCTGCATGATTTACAGCCTCAGAAACCCAATAAGGGGTAAGCTATGAGTCACTTCTTACTTGATAGGAATGAGTTAAGCAAGAAATAAAAAAAAATATTATTTTTAATAAGCTCAAGCAGAGGAAGACTTTCATCTACGTGGATTTACACAGTGACTGCTGGTGACTGCTGCAGTGGGCTCTTATATGTCAGAAAGTGTGAGGATGGCACAGGATAGAAAAGGGTTCAGATCTTTTTTTCAAAGGGTCTCTATGAGTCGTATTCAACCTGATGGCAACTGACAACAACAACAAAAACCAGAAAGGAACAAGAATAAAAGTATTGAGATATTTCTAAGATCTATACAGCAAAAATTTTAAAAATACCATAGAGAAAATGAAGCGGCTCTTAGCAAATGCCTATATATTATCACCATGATTAGAGACTCAACACTACCAGGGTGTCAGGTTTTTCCAAGCTGACTGTTGTTGTTGTTGTTAAGTGCCATCAAGTCGAGTATGCCTCATAGTGATCTGAGGCTCTACTCTATTCTGTAACATCCTCACACTTCCTGACTCACAAGAGCCCACTGCAGCAGTCACCAGCAGTCACAGGCACCATGTCAACCCACCTGGTTGAGGGTCTTCCTCTCCTCTGCTGACCCTCCACCCTTCACAGCATCATGTCTCTTTCAAGGAAGAGGCTCTTCTAGCAAAATGCCCAAAGTATGTGAGGCAAAGCCTCATCATTCTTGTCTTCAAAGAGGACTCTGGCTGCACCTTCTCCAAATCTGTTCATTCTCTTGGCTGTCCATGGGATGTTCAGTGCTCTTCTCCAACACCACAGTTCAAAGGTGTCAATTCTTACTCTGTCATACTTACTCACTGTCCAGCTCTCAGATGCAAAGCAAGTAATTGGAAAGACTATGGTTTGATCAGACATGCTTTAGTCCTAAACTGACATAATTACTCCTCAATAATCTGAAGAGATCTCTAGCTTCAGCGTTTCCCAGTGCAATGCATCGCTTTATTTCCTGACTGCTGATACGAAGGGTCTTAATCATGGATCCAAGTAAGATGAAGCTGTTGGCAGTTTCAATCTCTTCTCCAAACATCATGATGCTATCAGCTAAGTAGTATGAATCTTTTGGTTTCTTGACATTGAGAAGAAATCCATACTTCAGGCCATATTCCTTGATCTTCTACAACAAGGGCTTCAAGTCCTCCTCACTTCCAGCAAACAAGGTTGTGTCATCTGCATAATGCAGATTATTGATGAATCCCTCTCCAATCTTTATGCTACACTCCTCTTCACAGAGTTCAGCTTTTCAGCTAATTTGCTCAGCATACAGATTGAATAGGTATGGAGAGAGAATACAACCCTCATGCACTCTCTTCACAATTTTAAACCATGCAATGTTCCCCTGCACAATAGCCTCCTGGTCCAGGAGGATAATTATAGTAATGTGGTGGTACAGCCCAGATTGGAAGTTAGGTGAAATGAGGAAAAACACTAATAAACATCATTTAATAATTGGAACATGGAATGTATGTAGCGTGAATGTTGGAAAATTGTAAATTGTTAAAAATGATATGGAATGCATGAATATCGACATCCTACGCATTAGCCACTTTGAATCAGATAATCCTCTGGTGTACTATGCAGGGAATGAAAAACAGAAGAAGTTGACTTCTAGGTGTAATGAAGTCCTAACAAAAAAACCTATTAAGTCTTTCTTTAAAAAAAAAAAAAGAAACTCACTGGGTGACCCAACCCAAATATTTACATGAAAATGCAAAAGATCTTGTGTACCCAAACAGTTTTCAAAAATAATATAAAACTGGATGGTTCAAAATAAAGAAAGGGGTCCACCAGGGATGTATTTTGTCCCCATACCTTTTCAATCTGTATGCAGAACAGATCATCCGAGATGCTGGACTGTACAAGGAGGAATGTGGCATCAGGATTGGTGGAAGAATCATCAACAACCTGCGTTATGCAGATGACACAACCCTGCTCGCTGAAACTGAGGAGGACGTGAAGTGCTTGCTGTAGAAGGTCAACGACTGCAGTCTTCAATATGGATTGAAGCTCAGTATCAAGAAAACAAAGATTCTCACCATTGGGCCAATTGGCAGCATCAGTATGGATGGTGAAGAGATTGAGATAGTTAACAGTTTTAGTTTGCTCGGCTCCACAGTCAACATTCTTGGTAACAGCAGCCAGGAAATCAGGAGATGAATTGCATTGGGATAGTCAGCTGTGAGGGACCTCTCAAGAGTACTGAAGTGCAACGATGTCAGGCTGGAGACTAAGGTGCGCCTGATCCAGGCTATAGTCTTTGCAATTACATGCTATGCATCGGAAAGTTGGACAGTGAATAGGGATGACAGAAAGAGAATTGATGCCTTTGAGTTGTGGTGCTTGAGAAAAGTGTTGAATATACCATGGACTGCTAGGAGAACAAACAGGTTCGTCCTGGAGAGGGTGAAGCCAGAATGTTCCCTGGAGTCAAGGATTCGGAAGCTTCGTCTGACATACTTTGGGCATGTTGCAAGGAGGGACTGGTCCTTGAAGAGGGACATCATGCTTGGGAGAGTGGAGGGACGGCGCAGAAGAGGAAGACCCTCGATGAGATGGATTGATTCTGTGAGTGGAGTGGTGGGAATGAATGTGTGTGAGACAGCGAGTTTGGCTCAGGATAGAATGGCATTTAGGGCTTTGTATATAGGGTTGCTATGAATCGCAAACGACTCCATGGCACATAACAACAACAACAACAACAACATTATAAATTTATGGTAATAAGAGTTTAATTAAAGACATCAATGGAATGGTCCTGAAGGAATAGTCCAGGCAGATCTATGGTTAAAGGGTTGACAGATTTTATTTTAATCAAGGTTCCAAAAAAGACAAATAGATTTGAGAAATAGAATAGGGAGCCTAGATAGAGGCAGGCATACACTTTAAGAAATATTACAGGCTATCTTTGTAACCTTGGGACTGGCTAAGATTTCTTAGATATAACTCAGAACTAACTACAAAGCATAATAGAAAATATGGATAAAATAGTAATGATCAAAATTAAAAACTTTTTCTTATTAAATGCTATCTCCAAGAAAGTGATGCTCAAAACTGGGAAGAAAAACTGCATTACATATATCTAACAGGGGACTTGTAAACAATATATAAAGAACTTTTAAAAAATGAAATGAACACACAATTTAAAAAGTGAGCTAATAAATGTCATGGACTTGGACAAACAGAAATGCTTGAATTGGTGCACTGTATATTGCGCATTAGTGATGTGTATATTCTTAACAGGAACACCACATTAAGTTATTCTTTGAAAATGGCAAAATCTTTCAACAAACATTGTTCTAAAATATTCTAATGCACTGTATTTTTTATTTTATATTGGTTTGCATATAATAAAATACATCTTGTTTTGTACATGTGTTTTATACAATCCTTCATTTATGTTGTGTTTCTTTCATGTGCTTTGTGTTTTACATTTACTCATACACATTATATTTTATATAATTCATTTTCATTACTCCATGCTTATTATAACCCCATTTTTTCAAGTCCACATTGAACATTTCCTAACTCTTCACTCTTCTAATGCATTGTTATAAACAGGTAAGTAATAAAAGAAAAAGTGAATCAAGATAACTTTTTTTAAAGTGAAGGACTTTACTGCTTTTTTGCCACAAAGTAAAACAGCATTATCTCAGTTCTATGCAATGTTTACAGATGACTTTGTAAAGTCTTAGAACTGGGTACAAAGTTAATGCAAGAGGTATAAGAGGTATGCTCTATCATACTCCAGTGTCAGGAGAGCCACAAAACCATAGTATAAACTAGAAATTCATGCTAAGTATTAAATATACTATAAAGTATACATGTGATGTATTTCTGAAATATAATATGAAACTATTGTTTGACAGAAATTTGAAGGGACTTAAAAAACTGATACTAAAGAAAGACTCCTTGGGGTAGGGGTGAGGGTGGGGGGAGACAATGTGCAACAATGAATAAATGAAAGAAAAAGACAAAAAGAAAGGCTCTTCCAGTCTCTGCTTGAATGAGCACTCTGAAATCACCCATCTGGACACTGTGGGATCACAATCTGAATGTGGTAACAAGAGAGAAATAACTGCAAGATTCCTCATTATTCTAGTCTGGTATTTCCTATAATCCCATTGGTCAGGCATTTATAATAAACATTTAGGAATAAAAGCATAACAACATATTCTGACTATGTTCACTCAAATAGCAAAACATTATCTACTAAGCTTGTCACCTTCAACAAGATTCATCTGTCATCAGAGAACGCTCAAAGCTTGTGAGGTAATGATGTACTACACAGCTGTCTGATCTTCAGATGTCACTTTGGAAGCTGATGATAAACTATAGGTCTGACAGCTCACTTTCCATTTCAAGATATTTCTCAAGCTTTTTTCTTGTTGTGACAGGCAACCAAATTGATTAAACTTAGTCCTGGGATTTGACACTACAGCCAGCAGACTTCTATTTGTTGATTGCTATTGATTTTCTTTGATACTTCATTTAAAAATCAATAGTTGGAAAGAAAAATAGGCTTAGTTTACACATACTTAAACATACTATTGTATGCTGGAGGAAGCATAAGTTTGGCAGGGCCTTGGCATCCAATTATAGGAAGAGCTCTTAACAGGTGAAAGCAAGGGCTTTAGATCGATATGCAGTTCCCTTTCTCAATCAAAGAAAGTGGCTATAAATTAGGCTCATCAGAATTATTTTCAAGGCTTTCTTCAAACAAACAACTTTAAACTTTTTTTCTGGCCTTCTTTGGATTTACGTTACAACAGGCTATATCAGCAAAAGTTTTCTGTTTTGTTTGTAAAGATGGTTAAGGTACCTGGAGTTCATCCGGGCTTTTATCTTTTTGGCTTTTTTTTTATTTCTCTGCCGCTCTTCTCCATCCTTCACAGGTTCTGCTGGAGTGGAGCTTTCAACTACAATGTCAATAATATACTTCTTTAAGGAGAGATGTTCCTGCAAGGCAAAAAAAAAAAATGAAATGATATAAGGATAAAAGTAATACTAGACTGCTACACATTTTAATAAGCATAAAATGTTAAAAATGGCTGAAACTAAAAATAATATAAAAAAACCACTGGTTTAAACATTTGCCCTGGAACACTGGAAAATTGTTTTACTTGAGATTTTCACTGAGTTGCCAAGCTTTCACCAGCTATACTAAGTGCAAAGGGCAGAGAAACATTATTTCCATCCTAGGAGCAGCACTGCATAAGAGAAGAGGTCAAATACACACGTAAAACTGTAATACTAGTCAATAAAGTGCCAATCAGAGTTGGCGGAAAAGCTGTGAGAACTCACCAGAGGAAACAAGATTACTGGGCACTGAAGGTAGAGACAGTTCAAGCAGGATGCACCATATGATGCCTGCTATCTCCTGAAGAATGGAGAAAATTTTAACATATGGGTATTGGGTATCTGAGTGTGTGTGTGTTTGGGGAAGTGAGGAAGAAAGAGAGAAAGAACACGCCAGTAAACATTCAAAAAGGTAAGAAACTAAACATGAGTTAGTGGCAACCTAAGTTTGGATCACACAGAGTTTGGTATTACCTCTTTCTTTATGCATCTTAGATTTTATGGCCTATCACTGCAACCATTCCCTTGCACAAACCCAACTTCTTGTTCCTTTTGTGCCTTTATTCCTGCCTGGAAAATTTCAACCCCAAATCACACTACTTGCTCTTTATCTGTATCTGCTGGATAAGTATGCTGATTCCTCTCACTCTGAATTTACAACATTTTACCTCAAGTGAGTTCTGACATATCCAAGCAATCAAGGCACCTTGTGTATAGTTAATTAATACACTCACTTCGGGCATGTTGTCCAAAGTGGTCCTTAGAGAATGATATCATGCTTGGGAGGGTGAAGGGACAGCACAAGAGGATGGCCCTGGATTAGATGGATTGACTCAGTGACTGGGGTAGTAGGAGTAGGTGTGTCAGAGACAATAAGGTTGGCAAGTGCTTCAGGTCTTCTTCATTTTCTGCCAGTAGAGGTGTGTCATCTTTATAATGAAGGCTGTTGATGTGTCTTCCACCAATCCTGATGGAACATACTTCTTCATATAATCCCTTTTTAAAAAATGAGTATTTTATTTTACGTTAGTTTGCTCACAAAGTTCGTATACATTGTTTTTCACACTATTCTTCATTCATATTGTTTCATAAAATCATTGCCGTGCACTGTTTTATAAAATCAATCACAATGATTGATAATCATCATTACCCAATCTTTTCAGGTCCATGCTGGATCCTTCTGATTTCCTTCACCCCGCCTCCACATACCAAACTGTGCAATCCTGTGGTTTTGCCCCTACCCATTCTCACTCACCTCCCCCTCCTTGAATGATATGCTCAGTACACAGACTGAATAGGTATGGAGAGAGGGTAAATCTTTCCTGATGTTAAACCGTGCAGAGTTCCTTTATTTTGTTCAGACAACTACTTCTTGATTTATGTATAGGTTCATGATACAATAAAGTGTTCTGAAATTCTCATTCTTCTCAGTGTTAGCCATAATTTTTTTCTTTACTTTTACATTCTTTGAGTGAAAGCTTACAAACAATAAATTTTTCATATAATCATTTAAACACATTTTCTCATATAACACCAATTACAATTGACTATATATATTACTGTCTTGTATAGTTGATTACAACTTATTATAATCACAATGCCCCTTATTGTATATTATCATTTTCTTCTCTCAACTTATCTATTAATTTCATTCCCTTCTTCTTCCCTTTCAATCTCTGTTAATACTCCAAGACTCATTCTACTTGTCTTCTTACCTCTGGGATTTTAAGCAGGAGTTGTCAGAAAAGTTACTACAGGATAACTGGTTTGTGACATTTTGGGGGTTGTTTTTTTTAAAAAAACCTTTTTATAATAGTAGCCTTATTCCATAATCATCCTTTTGGGACTGACTTATATCACTCAGCATAATTTGCTCCAGTTTCATCCATGCTGTACAATATTTCATGAATTCTTGCTCATTTTTAGAGATACATAGTACTCTATTGTGTGAACAGATGATATTTTTTTCCTCTATTTTGGTCTTTTTCTTTTTTCTTTCCTGACTTTCCCCCCTCCGCAGTGTCAACATAATAACTGGTTTTTTAGCTTGACAAGAAATTGATTTTTTTATATACTTTTTTCATTTACTTTATGCTTCATACGATCATTCTCATATATTTTGTCTTATGAGTCACCATTGACCTATGCCCACTATTACCCTGTATTTTCAGATCTCCACTGGATCCTTCCTAATTCCATCATCCTCTTACCTCCACCCACCAAACCCAGGATTTTCCGTCCTCCTCACTCTCAGTTTACCTATCCCTTTCCCAGCCTTCTTTGAACATTTATACAAATCTTACTAGTCGTTGTTTTTTGTGTACTGTTGAGTCAGAACCGACCTATACCTGACCTTCCAGCAGGTTTTCAGAGGCAGTTAATTGCATGGAGGAGACTGCCCGCTTATCCTTCTGGGCTTGTATTTTTTGGGTTTTTTTTAAATTTTTAATTGTGATTTTAATGAATGTTTACAGACAACTTGTACTTCCATTCATTGATGCAAACTTCCTCCCTACTCACCCCTCAGTGCACTTTTCTCTTAAAAAAAAAATTATTTCATTGTTACACAATCCACCCCCCACCCCAATCTCCAGTCCACTTTGCTATATACCTCTTATTCTGGACTGTTGTCATGCAAATAATCCTAATCACATATTCCTTTAAACAGCTCTTTTCCTCCTCTGCTTCAATGCAGTGTACATAATTAATCCCCTCTTTTCATAGTTTCTCTCCAACCCCAATGTCAGTCCTGTTTTATAACAGTGACATTATGCAGTATTTGTCTTTTTGTGACTCAGCTTAAAGTCCTTCAGGATCATCCATTCGGTATAATATTTCATGAGTTCCTTGTTTTTCAGAGCTGCATAGCATTCCATTGTGTGAAAATACCACATCTTCTCTAGCATTCCATTATGGGAATATACAACAGCTTTTCTATCCATTCATTTGTTGATGGGCATTTGAGTTGTTTCCATCTATTTGCTACTGTGAACAAAGAGGCAATAAACATAGCTGTGAATATATCTCTCTAGGAGGCAGTTCTGATTTCTTTAGGGTATATTCCCAAAAGTGGAACTGCTGGGTCAAATGGTACTTCTATTTCCAACTTTTTGAGAAAGCACCATAATGCCTTCCAGAGTGGCTTCACCATTTTACACTCCCACAAGCAGTGAGTAAGAGTTCCAGTTTCTCCACAACCTCGCCAGCATTTGTTGCTTGCTGTTCTGTTAAATTTTGCTATTCTTACTGGGGTGGGGTGATATCTCATCGTTGTTTTGATTTGCATCTCTCTTAAAGCTAGGGATTTTGAACATTTCTTCATGTGCTTGTTGACCATCTGAATATCTTCTTTGGTGAGGTATCTGTTCATATCCTGTGCCCATTTTGTGATTGGGTTGTTTACCTTTCCTTGTTGTGGTGCTCGAGTATTCTATAAATTCTAGGTATAAGTCCCTTATCAGTCATATCATCACCAAATATGTTTTCCCAGTCTGTGGCTTTCCAGCCTTCTGTTTTTCCAGTAACAGTCTTAGGTATATTTGTCCTTATGAGCATGAGTTAGTTCACTCTCCTAATGTTCTCTAGCTCCTCCCAGGTTATATAAAATTTTTCAAAACTGTTGCTACTGAGTTAGCCGTAATTTGTTATGATTCACAGTCAAATGTTTTTCATAGTCAGTAAAATAAACATCTTTCTGATATTCTCTGCTTTCAACCAACATTAAAGCCTAGAAAACTGTAGAGAGTTCTACCGTGTCACATAAGGTGACAGTGAGTCAGAATCATCCCAACATCTAAGTACAACAATACTTTTAGACACTATCTAAATAAAATATTTTAAGTGATAAGTCTACATATAAGAAACAAATGCAAATTGAAAGAAATACTACCCAAATTTCAAACAAAGTTAAAGAAAGAAAACATTAATTCCAAACTTCTAAATTACTAAGCAAGCCATAAGTGAAATTATACTTCATTCTAGGAAACGTATTTGATTAGCTAAAAAAAAAAAAAGTAAATTGCATACATTATTTCTGAAAATCTTTAAAACAAGATCAAACAGGTGGGCACATGTTTACATTTTATAGATGTTGAACAAAGGCTCAAAGAGGTCTGGTTTTATGCCTATCTTACCAAAGTGAAAGTAAAAACCACAAATTGAATCATTTCACACGACTAAGCTTTTCCACAATTCCAAACTCCCTCTTCCTTTACGCTCATGCAGGCAGAATTTCTGGTGTACAGTTTCTATTCTACCATTTAAAAAAGGAAACTTTCTAAGGTATGATCTTCAACTTTGTGAAGGGGCCAACTGTATTATTCTCAGTTGTATAAACATGTCATTTGTAATTGTGTCAAACATAACTCATACGTATACACAAATGCATGCCCCAAGCAATGGTCTTACCAATTGCCTGTAGGAAAATTGGACATTGTTAAGAAAGAAATGGAATGCATAAATATTAACATACTAGGCACTGGTGAAATGAGATGGCTTGGCATGGGACATTTTGAATCAGATGATTATATGATTTACTATGCTGGGGATGAAAAGGTAAGAAAAAATGGGGTTGGTTTCATAATTAAAAAAATCATTTCTAGATCTTTCCTGAACTACAATGTGGTGAGCGACAGGATAATATCCATACGCATGCAAGGAAGTCCAGTGAATACCACTATCATTCAAATATATGCACCAACAACTAGAGCCAAAGAAGAGGAAATAGAAGATTTTTACCAACTTTTGCAGTCAGAAATTGATCAAACATGCAATCAAGATGCATTAATAACAATGGGTGACTGGAATGCAAAAGTTGGGAACAGGGAAGAAGGATCAGCAGCTGGAAAATATGGGCTCGGTGAGAGAAATGACGCTGGAGA